CATCTGGTAGCCTAGCATGACATATTATTTTGATCTTATCTTGTTTGCCTACCATTGGAAGATCAGGCTATCCTTGAAACCTTTCGCTTTAACTTCTGCGTTCGATATTTTTGCGCTCACTCGCCTAAACCTCGATCATCTGATCCTATGCGACAGCGTAGGTAACCCATATTTGGCACCAAATTAAACATTTGATAGAAAGGAAAAATTGCTTGTACTACTCTACATGGTGTATGTGGAGCTGGTCACCATTAATTATCTCAAAATTTTACTTTTTGAGTTTAATCCAAGGTAGGAAGGCCAAGCTTGTGTGGAATATACCTTTATGGCGCTCTCAAGTTGCCATATAAATTTGGTTTGACCTCGTTTTTATAACTCGGTCGTGGTGTCAGGGCGATCTCAAAGTATATCCTTCTTCTATGGTCGCCTGCAATGGCTGTCATCAAACATTTCCGCATCAAACCGTGTAATTGGTGCATCCGATGTAAGCAACACATTTTGGAATTTATCGCGTCCGCAGCTTGATAAATAAAATGATCATTACTACAATGGACGTCGGAAAAGGTGTGTTGTTCAAAGTAGAGCTGAGACCACTACCAAGTTACGCGAACGAGGTCAAAACTGAGAATATTTTTAATAAGAACTGTAGAAACCTTAGGTCTTTTAGGATGAAGAAGGACTGATGGTGAATTTTTCCACATGATATTGCAAGGCCTCAACGGATACCGAAGGAGAATTGTATTGTATCTGTGACTGCTTGGTTGTGTGAAGAAGACCTAGGTTCACAGCCATACGATATTAATAAAACCGTTCTAACCTTTCGTGCATCATGGTTACGGACATCGTCATGGCCTGAAACCATCATTAACGAGAAATCAGCAAAACTACCAAACGATGAAAGGTGGCCGGCTGATATCCTACCTACTTCTTATACATAACGTTGTGATCTGAATGAGGCCTTCCATGATTTGGTTGATTACTTCGTGTTTGTCCTAATTTTATGTGGACGAGTAAAGTTAATGCAGGAAAGGCGAGCTTGTGTGAACACAGCTTAGCTTTATGTAAATAAACTCGAGTATGATCCTGCAATACTGAGGTTTGTTGTAGGTCTGTGGATGTGTGTGCGTTGTTTGTAGGAAATACTCATGAGTCATTTGTCGATTTCGAACCCAAACCAGACTCCAGATTAATCAAGCCTTACTCTCCGACTCCGTAGCTTTTCCTTCCATCTGTCTCTCCTCCTCTTTCTGCATTAATCTATCCAGTAGCCAGAAGTAGTTCTTACTTAATTTGCACAACTGTTTCCACCTATTCAGAATGTTGTTTATTTTATTAATTTCAATCGATTCATAATCTCATGCTTAGTTGTGAAGTCTCCATATAAAGCAAAACGTTAGGCCTAAGACCACTCTATCTAATGTCATGTAGTGAGCATATATTCAGCCACCTCCAACTTATGAACCCATAAACCTTTGAGTCGGTTCTGTATTCTGATAACCACTTATGTGTGGACCGACAAGCCTCCTCACATAGACAGCACGATATAGGCATCTAACCCTATAACAACATGATCTGCAGAAAGCGCTTGAAGATTCTCTAATGGAAGGTATGACCAAGGAATGTGTGAATCTTTTTTTATATATGGTCCTGACGTTCAAATTCCTTAGTAATTCGCCCTTCTTTTTCGAAAGCTGACAAGACGGTAGGATCCCAAATATGCATGAAGAGTTATCTAATTCCCGTTTTATCATAAATCGTGGTTTCCTTAACTCATATTTCATAGTATTGCTTATTCAAGAAGCACTTCTAGTTAGGAAACTTTTGGTTAGCTATATGGAGGATGAACGAGTGCAAAAAAGTAAGTAATAACTAGCTCTGACTATTGGACAGAATTATGGCTAGAGAAAGTCTGGTTTGGGTTCGAAATTGTTAACTAATTCATGAGTAATGCATACACACATCACACACACACATCTAAAAACCTACACAAGGCCTCAATTTAACAGAATCATACTCTAGTTTAATTGCTTAAAAAAGGCTGTGATCACAGTTACTCAACTTCACTCATCCACATGCATGTGAGGCAAGCATAATGTGGCTAACCAAGGTATGAAATATATGAGTTATGGTCACCCTATTTTGTTTAAGTTGAGGAAAGATTGGTAGTTGAATTTCCCCACAATGATATGAGTAGACAATATATTCTCGTTGAATTTTAAATAGCCTTGCTTCCCAAAAGGTATTTTTATCCAGACAGGAGTAAACCGCAGTTATTACCTAGGCCTCATCAGCCCTCCTTATGAGACTCTAATTGTGAAAATGCAGCGTCTAATCTTGACACGTTAATCACTACGCCACATTGATACGAGTGACTTTGGGACACAGAGCAGATGTGAATTTCAGGCAATGCTAGGCATTTTTCCCATATTGTTATCGTGTCGAGACTACTTTGCGCTACCACAACCTGAATTCGAATCCTGCCGAGAACACCCTCGGCGAGGTCGAAACTGCAGTCCACCGTTGCCTAGACGAGAATATCCTTTAAGAGGCAAGGTTAGATAAATTCGTATGAAAGTAAGGGTTTCGAGACTACCAGTAAATCAGTGTAATGAGATGTATTCACCCTATTTCGTCTAAGGTGATGAAGGAATCGAGACTACCAGTAAATCAGTGTAATGAGATGTATTCACCCTATTTCGTGTAAGGTGATGAAGGACTGGAAGTGACTACCAGTAAATCAGTGTAATGAGATGTATTCACCCTATTTCGTGTAAGGTGATGAAGGACTGGTAGTCGGTGTAATGAGATGTATTCACCCTATTTCGTGTAAGGTGATGAAGGACTGGTAGTACTACCAGTAAATCAGTGTAATGAGATGTATTCACCCTATTTCGTGTAAGGTGATGAAGGACTGGTAGTAGGTAAATCAGTGTAATGAGATGTATTCACCCTATTTCGTGTAAGGTGATGAAGGACTGGTAGTAGAATTTTATCAGTCTTATGTTTTCTATAGTAATCGACAACGTTACTTATATTCGTATTAAAGTAGGGTTTCGAGACTACCAGTAAATCAGTGTGATGAGGATGTATTCACCCTATTTCGTGTAAGGTGATGAAGGACTGGTAGTAGAATTTTCCCACAATCATATGAGTATGTATTCACCCTATTTCGTGTAAGGTGATGAAGGACTGGTAGTAGAATTTTCCCACAATGATATGAGTTTTGACGTTTCCATTGAATTTCACATAGCCTTGCTTTCCCAAAAGTTGTTCTCATCCTGGGTGGACTGCAG